GGAAGCGTTTCATCGTCTTACCAATCAAGGGGACTACTCCTTAATGATCGAAGTCAGGGACATGCTGACCGACTCTTACTTTTGGAACATCCATGAACGTTTCCGTATTGGTTCAGAAGGCGATCAATACCTTTTAAAGGTATCGCATTCTACTGAGGGCAACCTGACGGATAAGTTATGGTATAATAACCTCCAGAGATTTCATACCTATGACAATGACAACGATATAAACTGTAGCCAGAAGTTCGAGGGTGGATGGTGGTATAATGCATGTACCGGCGTCTCTCTTACTGGTAAGATGGCGGTTCCGGGGCACTGTTTGTCAAATTGCTTTTTCTGGTTCAAACACTCCGGTTTGCCCGGGAGAAATGGCAAAGACAGTGTTTTATTACGCTGGGCTGTTATGAAGATTAAAATGCAACGAGGTTTTGTTGTAAAATAATGTAAGAAAAAAAATCGTGCTTTCGTCTCTTGTTCATTTTATATCTTACATCAGTATCAATCTGATAGAAATTTTTATCCAAGTCTAGACTTGATGATGAATAACTTGTGATTGAAAATTAAGAAAGGTTGTCGTAATTGGCAGAATAGATTTCTTTAAAGAATAATCATAGCTGTGTGTATTGATGTACGTAAATACACTTATTTTGTGTTCATGTACTTCATACTACTTGATTTCACCGGTAGGTCATGCTGCTTTAAAAGTTCTATTAAAATACATGTGTTATCTCTGTGTTCTGTATTAATATCTCAAAAGTGTTGTCCGCATCACAAGAACTAACTGACGACATAATTTTGCACTCGGGTATAGGTGGCGCTGATGCTGACGTCGAGCAAGGATCATCACAATCCTTTTTTTTCCCCTTTTTAAATGTGTTTTATTGAATTTTTTGCCTTAAAATTGTACATAAACACAAAACAATTATGAAACAAATCAAGGTGGAGATGAAAAGAGATGGTATAGACTTAACTTTATTTTTGTGGGTCAAAATGGCACCTAACTGCCTCGTAGAAAAGGGCGTTTTGTCACCTTGATATTTCCGTTCTTTCCTGCTACCTCTGGGTGGGACAGAGAGTATTATGAGCTTGACATGGAGGAACTTAGTTTCTATGCTAAAACCAAAATTCTCCTTTAAGCAAATGTTTGAGTTATTTAATGTCATTCAGAAGCATACGTAAATTATCGCGCCGTATTCATTTGCCGCCACGAGAGAACATCAATAATTGTGTGAAATATACTTATTAAAAGGGCCGTACATAACTTATACGTGTTACACGCTTTCTGCTCGGCTAACATTATGTTGTTTGCCAAGTATATACAATTGCTTTGCCATGGTAATCAACGACACAAACAGTCAATTTTCTATTTTAACTCGTGTTATCTCGAAAAAACTATCATTCAAAATCACGAGAGGTTTGGAGAAAGGCGAAAGTCGTATTATGAGTATATGAGATATAGGAGACATAACGCGGGTGTTAAAACATTCTTAGTCGCGAAAATATTATAGAACCCCTTTTCAGACATGTTAGGAAGATTACTGGTGATATGCTTAGCTATGAGCAGCACAGTTTGCATTCTGAATCACATTACAGAGGAAGGTTCGCATCCAAATGCACGATTGTTCCTATTCAAACGGGGAAAATTTCTGTCAGGGTCTGTTTTGGACAGAACGACGCAGAACAGTAGTGTTGAGTGTGCCAATCTCTGTGAGAAAAACCCTCAGTGCAAGTCTTTTAACATGAGATTGGACGATATGACATGTGAATTGAATACAGGTACAGAGTTCGACACTAGTTCCACATCTCTTGTTGATGATATTGAAAGCACTTACTACATGAAGGTAGGTCATATGCATTTTGTGGCAAGCTAAGTTTTAAAATAGTGAGCGTACAAAAGGGAGGGGGTGTCGTGGGATTTGTGAGCTTCGGCCTTCATATTACTTTTGCACAAAAAAAAAAAAAAAAAAAAAATCGTCGTACTGCTGCTATTTTCGTTCGAATGTGTGCCTGTTTTATGTGTGATGTCTTCTACCCGGTAAGCTAGGTGTTTTGATTGAAAGTTTCAAACTTCAGTTAAGGGCAGGGTGAACCAGTTTCATAATTGCAATACATATTTTGTTTAGCTTATTATTTCTTGGTCAAAGGATCAGGCGGACAAATAAAACCTTGTATTTCTGTGTATTTGTTTTAGATTCCAAAGGACTGTGCTGATTACAGTAAGTAATATTTTTCAATATGTTTCCTTGCCCAATGGTCGAAATAATTATAGAAGTGCAATTTCAAAACAAAAAAATCCCTATTTTTCAAACCTATACTGGAAAAGCGTTTATCAAATGTTTGTTTTTGTGAGTGGCCAGAGTTTTTTTTATTCATATTAAGAATGGGAAAATAAGAATCAAGCTGTGTCAAACTCTATATGAATTTATACATAAAATGTTGGCGAGTTCATGTAGTGCAATATCGAAGTAAAGTCAGATATAAGCGGTGAAAAAAAAGAAACAAAAGTGAAAACTATGGCGAATATAGATAGGAATAACTACATGTACGATACAGGTGGTACGAGGGCGCCCGGATAAAGGGCACCACGAAGATTTGCCTCATTTGAGAATACGATGGTTAGATGGTTATAGAAACAGCCATGGGTCAATTTCCGTTACATTTCAGACGTGGATGGTGGTGTGTTTTGGATTCACGTTCATTCCATGAGAAAGGCAATTCAAGTTTATTGTGAACGGGGATGGACGGTTCTTTTGCGAAGGACTGGTCCGGAATTAGACTTCAACAGGTAAACAGAAAAACCCATGAACTATGATTATGAGAAAAATTAAGTTAAAAACTGAGCGGAATCGAGTTATATTTGCCAATGAAGATTGGTGCATAATGAACCAAAGGTGACTTATTTTTAACCAAAGTTCAAGCTTTGTTTCTGTTCAATAAACGACATAGGCATACTTATGATATCGGCGAGCTTTTAGGCAGGATAAATGTAGTGCCTTTCAGCAGCACTCAGCTCTAATTGATATTCGTGTTGTCCTCCGATACATTGAGTATGGGTCATAAAGTTCGTAGCATTACAACTTGTTCCAACTAATTGTTGTACTCCACCTGTACTAGTACATGTGACAACCGGTGCACACTTCTCAGTGGTGAGGACCGGATCGGTAGCGGATTTAGAGGGGGGTCAGGGGGGTCTTCCCCCCTTCAGTTTCTAAAAAACATATCACACCAATATTCTTGAAATTAGTATTTTGACTAGCTAAATCGTAATTCTTAACCGAATCATAAGGCACTGTTTGCTCTTCAAAACAAAAAATTTCGGGGCCCTTTAGCAGGCCCCAAACTCCACACCAAAAGGATGATGGTCGGCTTCGCATTCAAGGCCTGTCGTTCCAGACCCCCCCCCTTTCAAATAATCCTGGATCCGCCCCTGCGGTTGAAAGGTGAGCGCCGGTTGACACAGGTATAGATGGAAAGAAAAAATGTTTATATAGTGCTGTATGTAAATGCATTTCAGGTCGTGGGAAGCTTATAAAAACGGGTTTGGTAACATTGCCCGCGACCATTGGCTGGGGTTGGAAGCTTTTCATCATCTTACCAATCAGGGAAACTATTCCTTAATGATCGAAGTCAGGGACATGCTGACCGACACTTACTTTTGGAACATCCGTGAACGCTTCCGTATTGGTTCGGAAGGCGATCAATACCTTTTAAACGTATCGCATTCTACTGAGGGCAACCTAACAGATAAGTTGCGGTATAATCACCTCCTGAGATTTTATACCTTTGACAATGACAATAATAAGAACTGTAGCCGGAAGTTCAAGGGTGGATGGTGGTATAATGCATGTACCGGCGTCTCTCTTACTGGTAAGATGGCGGTTCCGGGGCACTGTTTGTCAAATTGCTTTTTCTGGTTCAAACACTCCGGTTTGCCCGGGAGAAATGGCAAAGACAGTGTTTTATTACGCTGGGCTGTTATGAAGATTAAAATGCAACGTTATTTTGTTAAATAAGGTAAGAAAAAAAAATCGTGCTTTCGTATCTTGTTCGCTTTGTATCTTATACAGTGCCGGATTTCGATTTTAGTAAAAAAAATCACACTAATGGTTCCCTCTTGAAATTAGAATGGCGGTTAGAATTGCGAAGTGAAGGCTATTAATCGTGACTTAGTTGTTTATTCCCTGATATGTCTAAAGTCAACATTATGAATTAATTATGTATACGAAACACCCGAAAAGATTTTATCTTTAATAACGGCACCCATTTTTCTTGTAAATAAAATCCTAGCAGTGTTTATTGATCTATGTACGTAAAATATTTACTGCTTATATATTACTTTTACATTACCAGTTGCTCATGCTGCTGTATATTATTAAGTGTTCGCTGGCAGATGCAAGATTTATCTGGGTGGACTCAAGGAGACATAACTCTAGCCTTGCTTAGCTGAATAAATTGAAACAATAGACGGAAAGAATTTATTGTAAAAGTTAGGGAAGGGGCACCTGTCAACTTTGTCATTTTCTGTTGTTTTTTTTTTTGTTTTGTTTTTTTTTTTGTGTTCTTTTATGTCGGCTTGAGTAATTTTTATTTTAAAAAATTAGTTTTTGATTCTTTGTAAGGAGCTGAATGAGATTTGTGAATAACAAGAATAACAACATATGTCATTCAAGCAAGATGATTGGTTTAGTATCGACTGTGTGTTATCAGCAAATGATAGGAGGAAACAAAGTAAAACGCACCCACTGTCATTCACTAGGAGACATACATATAATTCAGTCATAAGTCGGTGTATGTTGTGTTTCATTGGATTTGTCAAAAAAATAACAAAGAATCCAATGAAACACAGATTGTTACAGTATGTTCTCATACCCATCCCACCCGGTAGAAAATTATGAATTATCATAATTATTTCTTATAAATAAAAGATATACAGATGTATTCAGTACATTACACAAAGGTATGTTTGTTTGTTTTTTATTTTATTTTATTATTTTCGAGGAGGCTTCATTTCTACTTCATCTCTCAGGTTAAATATAGTTTGAAATGTCCGATGTCAAAGTGTGTCAATTTGCTGGAAAAATTAACTCAAACCTGCCCAGGGTTACGTTTCATTCAGGCACTAGCTCGTTTCAGCAGCATACTTATTTGAGGTACTCAAACATGATTATTTTTCTAAAAGTGAGAACTGTCTTATCTCTCTAGACCGACAGCTGCCGTGTTTAAATGGAACATTTTTGATTTACCCTGAATCAGAGTGGATTGACAATTTTTGAACTAAGATCTCAAAATAAAGCCACAACCAACTTTTGATATTGGTTTTCATGCGTCTCAACATTAACTGAAATTGCTTTAGAGTAGACTTTTCTATCAGTCACTGAAATATGAATCTTGAATCTCCACTTTGTGGTTCGCAGCTTGATCGTAAACCTGTTCCAGAGAACTGTTTCACATCAAAAAGGGAAGAGAAACATGGATTTTTTTTAGTTTTATCATTATACAGGGTGAAAGTAAAATTACCTGTTCTGAAATCCAAATTAAAGCAACGCAAAATGCCAATCTTTTTATGACGATGACGAGTTTGAAAAGATCACAAAACTGTATAATTTGGTGTTCGGTTGCCGTTTTCAAGCTCTACCAGCACTGATTTTGAAAACAACACTCACTTCCCAAAGCAAAAACATTTCATTTGTGTGAGTGCGTATCATTTGGTATGGCGTCCATGCTCTTATGGTGCCGTGCCTGTATTCGTCCCAGTGTTTTCTTACTCAGTCCACACCATGACGCAAGGCCGTGTTCTCCCGTCTGTATCTCAAACGTGTTGGCCGCTGTAGAAGGACGAAGTGACGACATAATTCTGCACTCAGGTATAGGTGGCGCTGATTCTGACGTCACGCCATGATGATCTGGGTCCATCTCGACCCTGCTTCTTTGCAGATGTGTCCGTCTGTAATTTTTTGCGTCGTAAGCACCCATTGAATGAGAACGTTGCCTAACAAAGTGACTGTCGTTGGTTTTGTCTCTACAGCCATGTGCATTATCGCGAAAGTAAAGATGAAAGAACTCAGGGTGGAGATGAGATGGAATGGCACCTGCTTGACTGGCACCGTATTTTCGGTGGGGACGAATCTGTTCCAGTTTCGTTTCCCCAAGAGCCTCAATCGCTTCCAGCTGCCTGGCAGACACAGACGCAGACGCTGGCCGTCGGCGACGTAAGGCATCTGGCGACTTTGTCACCTCGATACCGCCGAACGAACTTGCCCGTCTTCTCTGGGTAGCACCATGAAGATAGCTAGTATCTGAGCTTGCCATGGAGGAATGCTTGGACCATTCGGGATGCAAAAGCGATTCAGACCCTTCAGAATATGCAGAACGAACAGGTTGTAATTTGGGCAATTTTGTGCCCTCGGCCATTTTTGCTTCCTGTGCTTTATATCGCTGCAGCCGTCTCATATCTGCTCCCACATCAAAGGAATTGCTGCGTGGTCGTGATCTTACCGGTAGGCCTACACGCATTTGCCCTTCGTCGTTTCTAATTTCTACACCGCCGTTGCGAGTATGGCCTATAGGTGTCGCAGTTGTCAAATCTGTAACGATTATTTCCACGGAACATTGTTTCTTGGGTTCCACACGGCCTTGACGCGGAGATGTCTCAATCTTACGCGAGGTTTGTGGGCTGTCTTGACGTGGACCCTGAGGCTGAGTCTCTTGTGACGTCACATCTGGTATTTTTTGTGGATTTTCATCCTTCAAATCTGACGTTGATCCTGATGTTGAAATTACGTTTTTTTGTTCAGAAAGTACAGTGGAACTTTGTTCATTTGTAGATGATTTTTCGGGATTCGGGGACGCGCTTGCAGAATGGAAACGCCGCCATCTTGGATCTTGTGTTTGTTTGCTTTTCATTTTCGGAGAGCCACTGCCTGTACCGGCTGAAGGCTGTGCTTGTCTTTTAGCATCACTAGCAGCAAGAGTTTTATACGTCTCCGCTAATTCCTCCACCTTTTTATCCACATTTCCCTGCGAAATGGTCGATCCTATATGGTTAGCCCATTCTGAGAGGCTATCCAGCTTTGATTGTAATTGGTGATTTTTTCTTTCTAAATTTTTTAGGCGTTCTTCAGAGGTGACACTATGCTCCGTCATGATGTTTCACGTCTATAATTATAAAATAAATATAATAAATATAAATAGTAATAATAAAAATAATTTTTCAAAAGCAAACTTTACAGTAGAATTAATTGCAAGTTACTTTTTGTCTTAGAAAATGTGTAGGCAGCAAATGATGTAACTAGCAAGTTTTTAACAAGTGTAGTGTGTGGTCACATTAAATTTGATGGAACGTGGTCCAAGGCTGACGTCATAACAGTACACTGTGTGGTCACATTAAATTTGATGGGACCTGATCCAAGGCTGACGTCATAATCTTTTATGAAGGGTGAACCTATATCTTACACAGATAGCAGAACAGTGACTGTCATGGTGTCGCATGCAGTTACAGGAATTTCTTGAAATTCTCCAATACTTTATAATTACTTTTTCTGGTGTTTTTGTGTTTTAGAGAATTATCGTTTCAGATACTCATTTCCGTCAGAAAGTCGACTCAATTTTCAGAAGTTTCGAATTTAATGGGTAATTACCGTACTACTGTACATGCTTCGTTTGCATGCAGTACACACTACCGTCTTAAATATACCGGGTATATTGTATCTTTAAAGATGAACTTAAGGTAAAATCAGTTTTGTCACGTCGTTGGAGACACTTTTGGCAGGTTGTGCAAACAAACTCAAAGGTTGTTTAATGTAAAACAGGTGTGCGGCACATGATGTGAAGGAGGTGCAACAGTACAAGTGAACAAGTATTGATATTGGCAGAACTAATATACGGGAACGCCGTCTGTCTTTTATCCACTTCGAGAGTAATGCAACCTCAAACCACATTGTCAGGGGGTACTTAATCTGAAATTAATGCCTATATAATGAGCTATGATGGTCTATATGTGCTGAATAGGAGCATAAACTTTGACTTTACAGGTGTGATGCAATGTCCTCATCAATCAAATATGATCCTTTCTTTGAACCAGCAAAACTATTTTATGACAGATTTCAAATCAAGTTTTTTTAAATCTATACGCTTGCATTATATCTAACCATGAGTGCCAAAAAATTGATACTAACTCTTTCAATAAAAGTTGTCCTCTCAAACTGGAGGCCAAACTCCACGGATTAGCTCTTTTTCCAGAAATTTATACAGATAGGGGAGAAGTCACGGTAAAGATTGCATAAATTGTTACTTACATATATGTGTGTGTGTGTGTGTGTGTGTGTGTGTGTGTGTGTAAATATTTGGCGGGGGGGGGGGGGAATAAAATATTTAATGGTTCCAGACCATTCAAAGTTATTTTCTAGTAAAACCTCACAAACACGGTATTCCCTTTTAGTTTTGCCTTTACGATTATAGATTGATTCAAAGTACATTCCTTTTATCAAATTGACCGTTGATAATGAATGTTTTGGTGTTAAATACGAAGAAAATAACACCTTGTTAGCATTTATTTCTCAGTGGGGGGTTTTGACGTGGCGCAGAAAGTTCAAATCTTTCTATTCTGGTTTCAAATGTCAAATCGCAACCAGGCCAGTTTTCACAAAACCGATGTAAGGTTAACTTCAGAAAGTAGAAAAATGCTGTTTTGAACTTTATCGGAATAGTCCCAGTTAATACTATACTGTACGTGACAAAACATGAGTGAATGTCGGAATAAGTTGTAGCTTTTTTTCACCGCTGTAACATTAAGAAAAAAAACATGAAATTTAGATAGAGCGTTAGCTGCAGTCTTGACACCCCTCTTAGATCTAAGTTATATTTTTCAAACAAACAATAGAAAGCAACCCACAAACCCAGTGGTTTGTTCTGTAAATTTTTATTGAAAAGAAAAAGACTTCAATTTAGCAGCTGCAGGGTTCAAGAGCGTTGATTTGTTATTGTTTCACATTTAATTGACGCCCCCGGGGTAATATTGTACAGACTTTAGATCATTACATGCAGTCACGAGCGCTAAGGACATGGTTGAAGTTAGTTAGTTGTGAGCCAATGACATTAAAACTGTTCGCTATTCAAAGTCACGGCTTATACGAACATTTATTTACGGCGGCTATTTTCTACTAATTTGGGTTTGCATACACTCCACTGGGTAAACTGAACTCACACTGGGTTCGTTTCTACACTGATTAAAACAGAAAACAGTGCCATTGCCTACTAAACATTCATAATGTGAAATTTCAAGCTGAGGAAATTTAGGGACACTGTTCTTAGGATATATCCACTTTTGAAAAAAAACTCATTTTTCCCCAAAATTATGGGTACTAAAAATGATATGTCCGTTTAAAGGCAAAGAATTGGGATGCAAGCACGGAGTTAGAATTAGAATTGTGAGATCGCTTTTACTTGAAGACCTTACTTTAATTCATAGAGAAAATTACCACGAACGATTAAAATCCAGACACAAAACGGAGGGCGGTGTGAAAATATTCCAACCCTTTCACAGCCCCCCACCCCCACCCCCCACCCCACCCATCCTCCTCTATCATCAAACTAGGCTAACGTCTCACGCAATGCAGTCAGTGTTGTTAGGTGTCTGGTTTTCATCCTTCTTAGATCTCAACGATGAGTATAGTTTTATTTCAGGTGTTATTTTACATCTCCAGTTTATACATGTATGATGACTTTTCTTTCAGTAAAAGCTGCCCAATACTGGGACGGGGGCGAAACCGTCTTTTCGCCTTTTGAAATAAACACATAATTTTGCCTTTTGAAGAAATACATGTAATACATGTACGCTGACAGCCTAGCAGTATTCTGTGCATTTAATATATATAGAGTTATATAGCCATCACCTTGCAGCCACAGATGTGCAGTTGAACTGATATGCGCAGTTTATATTGATGCTAATTAATTGCAATTAAAAGAATACGAAATACAGTTTTAACTGACATTTAACGGTCAGTGACGCCAACTGATTGCCAGAAACTTGAGTATTTTTATCAAAAATTAAACTCGCTGACGCAAGTGCAATATGACTTGTTTAAATGTTGTTGTAATCAGAATAAACTGTTTAGGTTGAGAGATTAGTTTTGGTTTCTTGCTACAAGCAAAAAATATTACCTTGCAGAAAAACAGTTTGTTTAAGTGTTCTAAAGTCAGAGCAATTAGCTAGTGTTTACTATGGAGGGTTCACAATATCTCGTCAAAAAACAATTGGACAGAAACACCTTTGTTTTAAAAGTATAAATTAACGTCCCTTACATCATACAGTGTATTTTGGACCCCTCTTAACCGGGTAGGCACTGTGTGGCTTGGTCTCCTCGCCTTGATCGAGAAAGTTTGGGGATTTAATTAGCTGTTAGAGAACGGAAAGCTTTCTTATCGATAACGTAATAGCCTCCCTAAGTGTTAAGTGTTCGTACAGGGGTGATACGGGGGAAATAAATTACAGCCGAGAAAACGGTTAAATGTTGAGCAGTGAACTATTTATATTGTACTTCGTAAAAATAAGACGCCAAAATACAGAATATTCATCAGAGAACGAATGTCAGAATGCTGTACGTACTTCTAAATGAAAATTACATGTATAAGTGAAACTGGACGCTGGACCGCTGCACTACCCTTATGAAATATGCTGTATTTACTCAATTAAATGCTTACCTTGATTAATAAAAAGATTTGGTCCGATCAGCGCAGCTTCCTTCCAAAGAATTACTGGTATTCGGAACTTGACAACTGAGATGTACAGTGGCGTTTGTTGTAGCCAGGGAAGTCGAAATCTCGATGTCGTTAGTTCGGAGATAACCGTCGTTTTGACTGGTGTCCTTCAAACCGTAGCACTCCGCTTCAAACACTCGAGTTGTCAACTCGTCCTCTAATAAGATGAAATCGATCCCCTATCCAATCTTCAGATACAATTACATTTGTGTCCAGAAAAATACTCCACTTCAAATAGCATTTCGAAAATTGCTATAAATTTCTGAAATCAATGCCGTAAAAACTTGGAGACACAATTGAAACTTGAACCATAACAAATCAAATTCAGCTTGGGTTTCAAACTTGTTTAAAAATCCCGTGTTGCTGTGACATAAACGGACTTAGTTCCACCCAGCCTAACTACCGCACCTTGACTAATAGTTCTCTTGAAATCCGTAGAGCCTCGATCACTTACATGAATATCAATATATATGAATATTACCCGCTTGTTATGCTTGCACTCTAGCGTAACCAATTTTCAACAGCAATCGAAATATAATAAACACAAATAAATTGAACTGCTGACGAAACACGGTCTGCTTTCACAACCTCTATTACCAATGAACTCAGTGGCTCTTTGTTCGAATTATTTGCCTCCTGTTAGCTTTAACGGGTACTTGCATCACATCTTAAGCTGACTCCAAGTTTAACTTTGCAATACCTATAGCTATATACTGGTATATGACGCTTGGTCCAAAGGCTATTCGTGAAAGGACAAATATCACAGTGACACGGCTATTATTATAAATTACTCTAAATACCACGATTATTTACACTTCCTTAAGGTTTCTAGATTGAAAGGGTTCTCTGTTTAATTTTCTGCTAACGTGTTATTGCTATTATTAGGGATTCTAAGGAATTGCAAAGATTAGGACGTAAATGATGGCGGAAAGCACAGTCATCAGATCTCTTTATCTTTTGAGCGACAATGCTTTGCACGCAGTAACTTTGCATAGAATAATCCCTTTATCCAATGCAAGGCTTGTTAGTGCATTTGTCACTCAATTCGAGGTTATATTGTTTATACTGTTTATAGTTTATACAGTACTGCATAATGTAGAGCAATTAATTTTCTTCTTGCCGACCAAACTCATTTGGCTTAAAACAGGAGAGCAAGTAGTTGCAACTAGCTCTGTTCTAACACAATATGATCTACTGCCGTATATGTGGATATAAGCTGTTCCCTGAACTCAAACCCCGTGTGGTCCCCTTCATCTTCTAGCCTTTGCCACGGTGACAGTAAATAACAGTCTCAGTTGGGAATTACTTTTCACGCATGGGTGGAAATAATCAAACTCCTTCACAAGGCATTTCTTTACGTGAAAAAGAACAATGCGAGCTCTTGAACTTATCAGTCAGTCGCAGAGGAACAACCCACTCTGTTGACAGAGTGTTTGAGCAGTTAATGAAAACCTCGATGTGTAAAAAAACGCTTGCTCGTTAATTCGTTTGACCGCTAGATGGCGGTAACAACTGAGGAAAATACGATGAGGTGAGAAAGGAAGAGGTGATTTTTATTTCTCTTAAGGATTCTCATCTGTGCGTTATTCCTTGATTTTCTGCAGTTAGATTGTAAAACATATAATGTACGTGGTGTAGTAACATCTGAAAAGTATGAATGGCCAAATTTTGATATTTCTCTGATTCCGAGTCCTTTTACAGTTAAAATAAACCAACGGTCATTCATTTTGGAGTTGCACGAAATTCATTATCCATGTATTCAGTTATAAAACTCTGCAGCTAAAAAATAAGGTTTACCATCGATCAATAATAAATGCTTTGAACGTTCAGACTCGATCATTTTTCCGTTCATCTGTGTATATTTCATATTGCGTTGCAAGCTTTATACACGTATGCCAAAATGAAAGCACAACTTAGTAACATCAGAATAAATCCATGCAAAAATTGCAAAATGCATACATGTACTAACACATTAAGATATTCGGAGCGTGCTCTGCATACGTAAATATATTGTTAATGCGAAGCACACAGAAAGCAAATGTTTTTATAAGTTTCGAGAGGTTTAAAACTTTAACCAAACAAAAATATAAAATTGTAAAAAGAAATTAACGTCATCACTTGGTCAGAAAAGAACGGATTTTCTTCGGTCATTTATGGACCGGGGTTTGGCAGCCATACTCTCCTCCGCTGCCTGGTCGTTACTTTGACGTTCCTGTACTCTCTTCAGCGACTTCTTTGACATCCCCAGCCAAGAAGCCAGCCCCTTTTTTTCTGTCTGCATTTCAACTGGGGCCGCCGCGGCATCTGAAGGGCGTAAACTCGACGCCATGCGGTACTCGGGAATCGCTGGCTTTAAAAAATCGGGATTACTCGCCGGTGCTGCCGTCTCTTGTTTATCGCGAGTCCGACCCGATGTTTGAAGAAGGTGAAAGAACTCGGGGTGCAGAAATAAAGGGACATTTTTTGTCCCCGAATGGAAACTGGGCCGAACTATTGCCATTTTTTCTTCACAAATTGATTCTAGTCTTTCTAAAGAACTTGATTTCTTTCGTTCAGTTTGTATGATCGCTTTCTTTCGTTCAGTTTGTTGAAACTTTCTGAGGTCAGTTCCAACGGCAATCGAGTTTCTTCGCCTGTTACGGATAGGAGGGATTTTCGGAATATCGTCTCTGGGGGTATCTTCTCCGTCTTGGGCGGATCCGGGAACATTACTGACGATGATCTCAACCGGTTCAGGTGCGGCGAGGTCCGTGACCGAAATCTCCACGGCAGATTCTGTGTGAATCGTACCGGTTTTGTGCAAAGGACCAGGCGATCCATTAGTGGATAATTCGGAATCTTCTGATTTCTCACCGGAATCCTCGGATTTTGCAACATTTGTCGAATTCTGATTGGTTGGTAGCTGTGGATGTGATAAAGGCACGTGACATATTGAGTGTCGTCTGCGTTGAAGAAGTTTCGGGCTCGGTTGTTCGGGTGAAAGTTGAGTCTGTAATGGAGGTAGCACGGGGCGCGGAGAAACCGCAGGCAAGGATTCTTGGCTGCGTGGAGAAACGTGTGATGGGGTCGGCGAACGAGATCTGAAGCGTCGCCAACGAGGGTCATCCCCCACGGGTTTTGTCACTCCATTCTGTCTGTTATTTGAGGTGCTTACAGGGCCACCACATCCCCCTGTAGTTAAGATTTTATAAGCGTCAGAAAGTTTTTCTACTTTATTATTGAAGTCCTCATCTGGAACTTTGAGATGATTATCGACGTTGTCCACGCGTTTCTCCATTTTCTTCAATTTGGACCGTAATTTGCGGTTCTGGGCCTCCAGTTTGTCCAGACGACTGGTTCTCCTCATGTGGGGAGACGCTCGAGGACTTGAGGCCATTGTTTTCTGTAGGATATCTGGATCAAGGGGGGCCAACTTTGGTTTCTGAAAGAAAATATAAAACGTTACCATTTACTAAATCAATAGATTTTCTTGACTGCGTACAAAAAGGAATTAGTAACTTATGTTTGTCATCTGATTTATTTTCTGCTGCTATATTTTCTTTCGATCTTCATCATTACCAGCATTGTAGTGCGACCCTTATCTTCCTTCCCACAAAGACAAATTTAGACCGAAAAATTGGTCTTAAATGTGACAACAAGTCCGCCCAGGTTGCTCAGTCGTACATGTAGTGCATCCATATTAACTGTAATCTGGTCGTTTCGAGCAAAGAAGGCATATGAAAATGTTGCGACGTTTTAACACAATTTAAATAACAAAGCAACACAAGAAGTCGTTACTAAAGAAGTCCTTGTAAATACCAAGTGATCCAAAACCTGTAGTTTGGAATTGAAGAACTTTTAATGAACCACATAGCGCTGATTAGAATATAACTTAAACTGAACAAAAAGAAAAAATTCCAACTTTACAAGCTTGTCGTTAAATATTTCAATTTTACGGATATCTTTTTCATTTTCCTTTTCTTGGCGCGTAATCATTTAGGAAAAAAGAAAATAATGAGTTGCCAAAGTTTAAGCTCGGACGAATAAAACGTATTAATTGCCGAAGGTTTAAGTCTAATGTCACCCACCTCCTGCTTCATGTTCCGTCAATGATATGAGCACTATATTAATATGCAGTCATCAGGAGGCTTAAAACAATCATACATGCCTGTATTTAAGCAAATATCGCTCACACCTCGATTGCACTCTTGCTATTCTAAGAATAATCATTCATAACAAATTAACTCCTTCCAAGGCCAAAAATAGGAGCAAATTGCGGCATCGCCATTCATCATGAGCTATTCTTAATTTTTTGTTTACATCCACCAAGTATTACGCGCCGTGGCTTCAAATAAACCTTTGAGGTTAAGGCATGTCCCTGGCATTGGGTCGTGTACGGTGATTTGTTTACAATAACAGATGCATGTTATAACATACCCAGTAGGTTTAATAATTGATTCGTTTGCTGAGAGAGTAAGTCTACACAATATTTAGATCGATAGACCAGAATTATTTACAGTGTCATTGTTATTTCTTTGTACCCAGTAGCCAGTGCAAAAACTCTTCATAGGTCTTGTAAGATTTAAAAATGAAAAGATTTAAATGTCATTGACAATTTATCAAAATGACGTTGTAGCTTTGTATTTATTTTTTTTCACACTATGCGAAAGGTTAGTGCTACGTTTCAATTCAAAACACAGACAATAGGCTGTGTATTTATTTGCAAGTGAAAATTATGATCGAGTCGAAGCACAGTCACAGCTTACTTTACAAACGCCACCTCTGTGACGCAGTTGACCGTTCAGTTACCTAGGTCACGTGACCGGTAAGGTCAAGTGCCAACTAGTGCATTTTAAATTTGTTATTACTAATTTAGAATAAGAATGACCGAAACATGTGTACAATTTAACGCTAGCAATCATGCGCACAGCGATTTGATAACGCATTTAGAGGCCCTGTGCATTGTTGTGCTTTTCTCAAATGTAAAGACATCAGCCGGGCGAATAATTGTTATACAATGCCAGCTATGTCTATGTGTTGATTGAAGGAGCCAAGTGTTGACAATGATCTACTTTAAAATATTAACCTACTATTTCATTTACCTTGTTCACTCAGTGGATCAAAGGATGTAATATTATGGCAAGAATAATGAAACAAACACAGCTGTGATCGCCCAACCTTAGCCGGGTTACGGGATCCCTCGAGGTAATTTGCTTGCCCTTAGGCAGAATCAGAATCGATTTATTAATTGGATTAGGGTATCGTTTGTGATTATTTTTTAGTGTAATCTCGGGTTACAATTAGTGGATGTTATTTGTCCTTAAGAAGTGTCATGTTTTGCAGGAAGTTAACACACAGTAGGTCATCCAATCACGCGTTTGGTAGTCTCAAATTCTTCATATAATCTTTTGAAGAAAGAAAAAAAAAAAGTTAAATGAAATTGCCGTTCACAGCATAACACATTACAGCCAGTGTTCTTCGGACAGCTAAAAATATATTTACACAATCTGGGATTAAAAATAGAAGTTGTATCAATAAACTGAGGGCAAAAAACACTTCGTATACATTAATACACTGTGCATATCACGCGCAGCAGATTATATTTATAGGCACTGAAAAACCTGCATAGATGAGATACCATACCGTGTTCTATTAGCAACAACTGATCATTATAAAGATATAGAAGCACTGAGGTTTCTACGTGTCTGTAAGAATGATTTTTACCGTTCATCAAACACATCCGTGACTCGACATCAGTTTTTGGCCTTGGTCTTCAGGGATTCTCCTTTATCTTAATTGTGATGTACATGTAATATTCGCCCTATTAGTCTCTTCTTTCTATGTTTGCCATGTTATAAATATCTTTTAGTGTATTAATTCCCATTTTATTCTGGAGTACCTATTGCTATAATTTTTAAACCAGTCTGGGATAACAGATTAACTGACATTTAATCCGAATTTTATTAAATTAAAACTTAGCTAAAGTTTTATGCGTATGCTAATATAAGCACGTCATCCAATTAGACGTGAAGCATTCCAGTTGGAGTTATAAAGAGGCGCTGTTATTCAAGAGGCGCTGTTACCAGTATACAGGCATATACAGTGTTACAAAATTTCTTTATCAGCAGATATAGAACTTAATAACTTATAAGTAATTCTTACTTTAGATCTACTGTTTAAAGGCTTCATCTTAATCATATCTAATATCATTCAAAGTAAATACTGTAAGCTGATTTTGGAGGCAAGGGTGTTGTTTAAACCGAAACTCCTAGCTTAAATTTTGAAGAGTATTTCCCGTCAAATAGCCGAATATTTATTCACATTTTATTCTTAAATGAAAACAGGTATCATAATGATGTTATTGACAACCTAAGTATGAATACGTGGTTAGTTAAAGAATTCAATCCATATAATTACCTCCGCCAAGGGGGTTATGTTTTCACCCCNTCGTTCTCCTCATGTGGGGAGATGCTCGAGGACTTGAGGCCATTGTTTTCTGTAGGATATCTGGATCAAGGGGGGCCAACTTTGGTTTCTGAAAGAAAATATAAAACGTTGCCATTTATTAAATCAATAGATTTTCTTGACTGCGTACAAAAAAGGAATAAGTAACTTATGTTGGTCATCTGATTTCATCAGCTGCTATATTTTCTTTTGATCTTCATCATTACCAGCATTGTAGTCCTTATCTTCCTTTCCACAAGGACAAATTTAGACCGAAAAATTGGTCTTAAATGTGACAACAAGTCCGCCCAGATTGCCTAGCCGTACATGTAGTGGAATCCATATTAACTGTTATCTGGTCGTTTCGAGCAACGAAGGCATATGAAAATGTTGCAACGTTTTAACACAATTTAAATAACAAAGCAACACAAGAAGTCGTTACTAAAGAAGTCCTTGTAAATTCCAAGTGAACCAGAACCTGTAGTTTGGAATTGAAGAACTTTTAATGAACCACATAGCGCTGATTAGAATATAACTTAAACTGAACAAAAAGAAAAAATTCCAACTTTACAAGCTTGTCGTTAAATATTTCAATTTTACGGATATCTTTTTTATTTTCCTTTTCTTGGCGCGCAATCATTTAGGAAAAAAGAAAATAATGAGTTGCCAAAGTTTAAGCTTGGACGAATAAAACGTATTAATTGCCGAAGGTTTAAGTCTCATGTCACCCACCTCCTGTTTCATGTTCCGTCAATGATATGAGCACTATATTAATATGCAGTCATCAGGAGGCTTAAAACAATCATGCATGCCTGTATTTAAGCAAATATCGCTCACACCTCGATTGCACTCTTGCTATTCTAAGAATAATCATTCATAACAAATTAACTCCTTCCAAGGCCAAAAGTAGGAGCAAATTGTGGCATCGCCATTCATCATGAGCTATTTTTAATTTTTTGTTTACATCCACCAAGTATTACGCGCCGTGGCTTCAAATAAACCTTTGAGGTTAAGGCATGTCCCTGGGATTGGGTCGTGTACGGTGATTTGTTTACAATAACAGATGAATGTTATAACATACCCGGTAGGTTTAATAATTGATTCGTTTGCTGAGAGAGTTGGTCTACACAATATTTAGATCGATAGACCAGATTTATATACAGTGTAATTGTTTTTTCTTTGTCCCCAGTAGCCAGTGCAAAAACTCTTCATAGGTCTTGTAATATTTAAAAATGAAAAGATTTAAATGTCATTGACAATTTATCAAAATGACGTTGTAGCTTTGTATTTATTTTTTTTCACACTATGCGAAAGGTTAGTGCTACGTTTCAATTCAAAACACAGACAATAGGCTGTGTATTTATTTGCAAGTGAAAATTATGATCGAGTCGAAGCACAGTCACAGCTTACTTTACAAACGCCACCTCTGTGACGCAGTTGACCGTTCAGTTACCTAGGTCACGTGACCGGTAAGGTCAAGTGCCAACTAGTGCATTTTAAATTTGTTATTACTAATTTAGAATAAGAATGACCGAAACATGTGTACAATTTAACGCTAGCAATCATGCGCACAGCGATTTGATAACGCATTTAGAGGCCCTGTGCATTGCTGTGCTTTTCTCAAATGTAAAGACATCAGCCGGGCGAATAATTGTTATACAATGCCAGCTATGTCTATGTGTTGATTGAAGGAGCCAAGTGTTGACAATGATCTACTTTAAAATATTAACCTACTATTTCATTTACCTTGTTCACTCAGTGGATCAAAGGATGTAATATTATGGCAAGAATAATGAAACAAACACAGCTGTGATCGCCCAACCTTAGCCGGGTTACGGGATCCCTCGAGGTAATTTGCTTGCCCTTAGGCAGAATCAGAATCGATTTATTAATTGGATTAGGGTATCGTTTGTGATTATTTTTTAGTGTAATCTCGGGTTACAATTAGTGGATGTTATTTGTCCTTAAGAAGTGTCATGTTTTGCAGGAAGTTGACACACAGTAGGTCATCCAATCACGCGTTTGGTAGTCTCAAATTCTTCATATAATCTTTTGAAGAAAGAAAAAAAAAAGTTAAATGAAATTGCCGTTCACAGCATAACACATTACAGCCAGTGTTCTTCGGACAGCTAAAAATATATTTACACAATCTGGGATTAAAATAGAAGTTGTATCAATAAACTGAGGGCAAAAAACACTTCGTTCGCATAAATACACTGAGCATATCACGCGCAGCAGATTATATTTATAGGCACTGAAAGCGCTACATAGATGAGATACCATACCGTGTTCTATTAGCAACAACTGATCATTATAAAGATACAGAAGCACTGAGGTTTCTACGTGTCTGTAAGAATGATTTTTACCGTTCATCAAACACATCCGTGACTCGACATCAGTTTTTGGCCTTGGTCTTCAGGGATTCTCCTTTATCTTAATTGTGATGTACATGTAATATTCGTCCTCTTAGTCTCTTCTTTCTATGTTTGCCATGTTATAAATATCTTTTAGTCTATTCATTCCCATTTTATTCTGGAGTACCTATTGCTATAATTTTTAAACCAGTCTGGGATAACAGATTAACTGACATTTAATCCGAATTTTATTAAATTAAAACTTAGCTAAAGTTTTATGCGTATGCTAATATAAGCACGTCATCCAATTAGACGTGAAGCATTCCAGTTGGAGTTATAAAGAGGCGCTGTTACCAGTATACAAGCATATACAGTGTTACAAAATTTCTTTATCAGCAGATATAGAACTTAATAACTTATAAGTAATTCTTACTTTAGATCTACTGTTTAAAGGCTTCATCTTAATCATATCTAATATCATTCAAAGTAAATACTGTAAGCTGATTTTGGAGGCAAGGGTGTTGTTTAAACAGAAACTCCTAGCTTAAATTTTGAAGAGTATTTCCCGTCAAATAGCCGAATATTTATTCACATTTTATTCTTAAATGAAAACAGGTATCATAATGATGTTATTGACAATCTAAGTATGAATACGTGGTTAGTTGAAGAATTCAATCCATATAATTACCTCCGCCAAGGAGGTTATGTTTTCACCCCTGTCNGAGTCGAAGCACAGTCACAGCTTACTTTACAAACGCCACCTCTGTGACGCAGTTGACCGTTCAGTTACCTAGGTCACGTGACCGGTAAGGTCAAGTGCCAACTAGTGCATTTTAAATTTGTTATTACTAATTTAGAATAAGAATGACCGAAACATGTGTACAATTTAACGCTAGCAATCATGCGCACAGCGATTTGATAACGCATTTAGAGGCCCTGTGCATTGCTGTGCTTTTCTCAAATGTAAAGACATCAGCCGGGCGAATAATTGTTATACAATGCCAGCTATGTCTATGTGTTGATTGAAGGAGCCAAGTGTTGACAATGATCTACTTTAAAATATTAACCTACTATTTCATTTACCTTGTTCACTCAGTGGATCAAAGGATGTAATATTATGGCAAGAATAATGAAACAAACACAGCTGTGATCGCCCAACCTTAGCCGGGTTACGGGATCCCTCGAGGTAATTTGCTTGCCCTTAGGCAGAATCAGAATCGATTTATTAATTGGATTAGGGTATCGTTTGTGATTATTTTTTAGTGTAATCTCGGGTTACAATTAGTGGATGTTATTTGTCCTTAAGAAGTGTCATGTTTTGCAGGAAGTTGACACACAGTAGGTCATCCAATCACGCGTTTGGTAGTCTCAAATTCTTCATATAATCTTTTGAAGAAAGAAAAAAAAAAGTTAAATGAAATTGCCGTTCACAGCATAACACATTACAGCCAGTGTTCTTCGGACAGCTAAAAATATATTTACACAATCTGGGATTAAAATAGAAGTTGTATCAATAAACTGAGGGCAAAAAACACTTCGTTCGCATAAATACACTGAGCATATCACGCGCAGCAGATTATATTTATAGGCACTGAAAGCGCTACATAGATGAGATACCATACCGTGTTCTATTAGCAACAACTGATCATTATAAAGATATAGAAGCACTGAGGTTTCTACGTGTCTGTAAGAATGATTTTTACCGTTCATCAAACACATCCGTGACTCGACATCAGTTTTTGGCCTTGGTCTTCAGGGATTCTCCTTTATCTTAATTGTGATGTACATGTAATATTCGCCCTATTAGTCTCTTCTTTCTATGTTTGCCATGTTATAAATATCTTTTAGTCTATTCATTCCCATTTTATTCTGGAGTACCTATTGCTATAATTTTTAAACCAGTCTGGGATAACAGATTAACTGACATTTAATCCGAATTTTATTAAATTAAAACTTAGCTAAAGTTTTATGCGTATGCTAATATAAGCACGTCATCCAATTAGACGTGAAGCATTCCAGTTGGAGTTATAAAGAGGCGCTGTTACCAGTATACAAGCATATACAGTGTTACAAAATTTCTTTATCAGCAGATATAGAACTTAATAACTTATAAGTAATTCTTACTTTAGATCTACTGTTTAAAGGCTTCATCTTAATCATATCTAATATCATTCAAAGTAAATACTGTAAGCTGATTTTGGAGGCAAGGGTGTTGTTTAAACCGAAACTCCTAGCTTAAATTTTGAAGAGTATTTCCCGTCAAATAGCCGAATATTTATTCACATTTTATTCTTAAATGAAAACAGGTATCATAATGATGTTATTGACAACCTAAGTATGAATACGTGGTTAGTTAAAGAATTCAATCCATATAATTACCTCCGCCAAGGGGGTTATGTTTTCACCCCTGTCTGTCTGTCTGTCTGTTTGTTTGTTTGTTTGTTTGTTTGTCATCAACATAACTCAAAAAGTTATGGACCGATTTTGATGAAATTTTCAGGGTAGGTGGGAAATGGGTTAACTTAGAAGTGATTAGTTTTTGGTGGTGATCCGGATCAATAATCAATCAAAAATCAATAATAATAATAAATCGTTGCCTTGGCGGAGGTCTGCGCTCTCGGAGTGCTTTTCTAGTTTATTCAACTTATCGTTTTGTTTTGTTACAAACCCATGTGTCATTCCCATGTTATTGAAACCTAAGTATGAATACATGGCTAGGCAAACAATTGAATACATACAATTTATTTAACTTATTGTTTTGTTGCGGTGTGTATATTTTCTCTTACTTGAATCATAAGTAAATATAGAGCATATGTTTACGTGTACTGCAGTACCTGTTCGGGAACTTTTCCAAAGCCAATAGAAATCACCACACGAATTGTTTTTACCAGACACCTTTTTTACCAAACACTAACTTGTTATATAGTGACGCAATGTCCAACCGGTGAGTCTTTGCATGTTTATGGTTACAAATAAAATATCAAAACTTTTACTATAAATTTGAAAACTGAAGCCCGGAATGATAAACTTAAGGAAAATCTGACTTTACTCACAATTGGTACTCCTTGCATTCAAAAGATAAAATTTCTTCATTTTACATACGTAAAAACGATGTTTATTTTCGATTGTTTCGATCTACATATTTGCCAAACTTCGTGATTAACAGTCATCAGCTACCAATCAATCTTTACTCTGACAAAAAAAAATCGTCTAACGTTCACTCGTTGGCTTGGGTTGAGATTCTATTTACTCTTGGCTCAAATGGTTTGCATAATCAGCAATAGGCAATTGCTATTCCCAGATTTACTAATTGTGGTGAAATTATTTGACGAATAGAAATCGATCATACCTTTGTTAGGGAGGATAGCATGTCATTGAAATCCGGCTAGTTTTTTAGTTGAAATTGTCTTGGTCACATGGACCACTGGCAAGAACCAGTTATCCAAAAACAAGGCGAAAAAAATCACCATGTCTTCTGTTCAATAACAGTTTAGGAGTTGATAATCTTGTGGGCCTATGAATTTGGAATGCTCTTACCGCTTTAGAACAACATAATCGGGATGGACCCTAATTTGTTACTGAACATAGAAGTTCTTTACTCTCTACCAGGATCACGCATTGATTTTTCACTAGATCTTCGCAGATATGTCTCTGGCTACTTTGACACAAATAATGACACAGAAGAGTTCACATTATTTATCTGCGGCCCTGCTAGAGTGTAGATATTACTTTAAAAAAGGACCACTTACCTAAATGACAAGCTCCAGGTATGGCAATCTGTCTTGGTGTCGAACTTTCAACCCCCACGCGCAGTGCCAAGTGCCCCCGTGCCTACAGCCCGTGTTTTCGTACTGATCTGACTTTTGTCATCTCCGAACTCGTAACCCTTAATTCATGTCACCAAATCAAATGAAATCTGAAACAACAGGTGCCGTTCAGCTACTTGTACAATGTAGAACACGCTACCTTTTACAAAGCTTTTGCAAAAATAACATTTGCATCACTGTATCCTTTATTCTAACCTGTTGAAAAAATACTTTTTTCTTTCGAGACATTTGTATGCCCGTCTTTATGCTCTCTTTTCGGGTTGAAACACGTATTTTTGTTTGTGTTAGGTTGAATGGGTCGAGCAGGTCAACTGGTAGTACTGTAACGTTTCAATACCAATCCTTTCTTTTTCTATAGGAATTAATCGGCATGATTGCGTCCCTGAAAATATACAAAAGATAGTGTATTCTTTCAAAGACAAATAGGAGAGATCGAAATGAGATAAAAAAGAAGAAAGAAGTGGAAAAAGATGAAAAAAGAAAAAAAAATAGAAAAAATTGATTAAAAAAGAAAAGAAAACGTAGACGTCAAAGAGGAAATAGAGAAAATAACGACTGTAATTTTAAGATATGTAATTTCAAGTGATTTCCAAATATCGTTCCAGACTGAACAGAGAATAGCATAATCATGCAAAATTACCCTCTACCAGGGCCACAATTTTTATTATGTACACTTTTCTCTGACGCAAAAGTCCCAGCATACCTGTGAATATCTAATGAAAAATCAATCTGTGGCCGTGGCAGAGGGTCATGCAAAACCGAGAATCATAAATACTAATTTACGCACTCCATACGGTAACATGTATGTTGTAAATACCACTGCTTTTATTTACCCCCACCCCCATCCCAGAAAATTTGATTTTTTAGATGTAATTTACATGGTATGGCATAACTCTTCACTTATTACGCGTTTGTTGTAGTTTTTTTTTCGACACTTATCAATACTTTGCGTTAATTGAAGCAAAGAGTATCAATGATTGTAATTTGTTTATAAATTCTATTAACTTGCGATTTACTTCTAGACACAAAATCTCTTTTTCAGCGACATTACTACACAGAATATCACAAAAAAGTCTTGCCCTTTTGCTTTGGTTGAAGCAATAGGTGCCCATGATCGTATTCTGTATATAAATTCCATTAACTTGCGGTGTATTACTTGACACAGACACTTTTTTTAATTGACATTACTACACATAGTAACACCAAAAACACCGCAAAGAAAGTCTCGTTCTTTTCGAAACCCTCTTTTGACCTGCACGTAGCTAAAAACGCCAACCAAGACACTAAATCCTTGTCACACAGTCGGCACCTCCAATACAGTATGAATGCTTAGCTGATTTATAGACCCTGGTCACAAAACACCCTACAAATTACAATAATTACCTATAAGAACTTCGCCACGCAATGAAATGCTGATCAATCTTGAGGGTTTCAGAGATGATTTATGATCCAGTCTTGATGAAAATAGGGCTGTGGTATGAACCTCATTCATTTCGACCCCCGCCAAGGCCAGGGCTCAGTCAGCCGTGGATGACAAAGGGAGACGTACCAAAAATGACTTGGCGGGGTCTCTACGACATTCAATCGATGGAATTTGATTTAATTCGAAATATGAGACTTACGTTTGTCAAAGTCTGCTAGCACGTACGGCATATTTAGTTATGTAGACTTGCACCAATCTACTTGTTTTTTTTTTTTTTTCGTTTTTCAAGCTTATTACACGAAATTTTTATTGCAGCACACACCGGCAGTACGTAAAGTTTACACCTAGTTGATACCCTCTGTTTATACAGTCAACTTTCTTCAAATAGAAATGATTATTAGATGTCAGAATCTTCCTAGAGATTAAATTATGTGCGAAACACACATACCGGTAAACCACAACTTTCTCATTCCACGAACGTGCGCTCGCTCCCAGCTAGTCATAATCAACTAATTATCCAATTTAGAATTTTAGTTTTCTTCATCAGTAACGCCCCCCCCCCCCACACCCACACACAATTACAACCGATATCAAATAAAAATCATCAGACTAAACTCATTCTACCTACTTTCAAACGTATACATACCTAGGGCTGTTATGTGACCGTGGCGATATGCTGATCACTGAAGCCTGTCCATTTAGCTTAGCTTCAGTGAAGATCGAGGGTAACCTCGAGCCGCTACCCTGAAATATCTTGCTTCACTCGACATTTCTGCGTAGCGTCTCTCGGAAAACTCGGATTTATAACCTCGATGTAATCTTCTAGACTACATCTTGGTTAAATCAGTCGCGGTTTCTAAAATGCTGAAAGCCGAAGACAGAGCTTAACATGTAACCTTCTTGGCATCAAGAAAATAGTGACTTTACTTGCGTTATGTACCTAGACAAATTTTAAATCTCTAACACTCTTAAAAGTTAGCATAAACTTTTCACGTTCAACAATTATTATTTATCATTTTATTACACTAAGTCATATCATATGGGTAAAAGCACACGTGCATACAAAAGTATTTGTAAATCTATAACTTTTTAACGATGGTTGTGTTATTTACCTTTTATTTTTAAGCTGTTCATTCTTCCTCTTAATCAGAAATACTTGTAATTACATGTAGCACATGAATGCTCTGAAAACCAGTACATGTATATTCCGAAACCGCCTCGTAGTAAAAAATGTCACCAAAACGTAGAATGATTACTCCTGTGGACTAGTAATAAACATCCGTCTGACTTTGACTATATTCCGAAACTGCATCTTTGTTAGAAATATCACAGAAATGTACATTTCTTTCTACTTTGCACTTGTGAAAAATTAATTTGACTATAGTCCGGTCCGACGCTCCTTGTTTATCTGAAATGTCACTAAAAAGAATTGGATTTGCCTTGGGACCTTTTTTCCGCAGCAGTCCCAGCTAGGTGTGGCTCAGCTGAAACGCGCATGATCAGTGTCGACGGTTGCTTAAATACTGTTCAAGCGAGTTGAACATCCACAACAAGAATTTAGCAAAAATTGACCAAATTGGTCAGAAATTACGTAAGAATTTGGCGGGAGGTGACCAGCGCACGTGGATGAGTTTATTCCATATAACATATCTAGAGCGTGATATAGGGTCACTTTATTAGGTTTTAGGGGTGTTTTAGGATGAAATGACTGTATTTTTTTCTCGGCATGTATGTCAAATAACACATACACTGTCACCTCTGGCGCTCGAGGTGTAATGGCATATATCGCTCGGGTGACAGTGTATTATCTCACACATAACCAGTCTAAAAAAATAATAAAAAATAAATAAATAAATAAATAAAAAATACAAACACGTTTGTTTCGTTATTTCCTATGTAAAATAGCCTGCTCTCTCTACCCAACTCCCTATCTGATTGATGTGCTACAACAATGCTATGAAATCAACCGCAGGTCGGGCCAGAGAGATAAGGGAATTATTTAGCACAGTGCGAGTAAACAAATATATCGTTCTGTAAACGGACTTTGGTTCCCACTTTTAGAATGATCAATTCAATCAATGTGTGTCAAATCTCACGAATAACATCTCTGGTTGCTGCGGCGTGGTCATCAAAATGTCCGTGCGACAGCGTCAAGCCCCTACCGTCACCTCCGAAGTGTGCACGGACCAAGTGCCCGAATGGAAGCCCGCTCCTCGATGGAAAAAGTCGCAACCGCTGTCCGCGGAAATCTGGGAGTACGTCTCGTTCATTTCGCAGTCTGTGCTTGTGACAATACTTCTAGGTGTAATTTTGGTCATTCCACGGTATTTCGTGGTGACTTTTTTTCCTGTCGCAACCGAGCCAACACTAGAATGGTGGCAGACTTCCATAATCTATCAGGTGGAGCCCAGGCTTTTCCAGGACAGTGATGGAGACGGAGTCGGGGACTTGAAAGGTAAGAGATCATCATATTGTCTGAGTGTGTGTGCGCGCACGTACATGTAGGTGTGTGTGTGTTTATGTGCATGTGTGCGTGTCCGTGTGTGTTTTGCCTTCGAGTTCCGTGATTCATGCGTGCTTGTGTGTGTGTGTGTGTGTGCGCACGTGTGAGTGTGCTTGAGAGAGAGAGAGAGAGAGAGAGAGAGAGAGAGAGAGACTTTGGCAATTTATTTTCTAACATCTGGTTAAAATGAGGTTAGCTGAAATTCTAGGTATTAAAAGTCATGGTTATATTCTATTGATTTATTTTTTGTAATGTATTGACATGCCTTCCCTCCACTCCCACAACCCTCCTTCCTAGCAACCCCCCTGCCCCCCCCCTCCACTCCCCAGAACATCCTCTCATCCGTATGTGAACTCATTGACTTACCAATGCACGTGATATGCCGTTATCTCGGCACCCGCCCTTACACTGAAATGAGGACATTTAAGGCTGGTATTAAAATGCAATGACCTATCATACAAGGCAACGTTAAAACAATTAAGAAAATAGTGAACATTTTTATTGTCTGCAGTCCCTCTTTAACAGCAAACCAATCTTATATGAAATAACCGTGAAGTAAACGTTGCAGCCATTAAGAAATCATTTGTTTATCTATGCTCATTGAAATAATTAATGCGCGCCTGACGCATTAGCTAAATTAATTCCGAAATCATCATATATCATTTTATTACAGTGATTAATTATGGTGAACACTTCAATACATGTATATTATCATATTATGCCCGTGTTCATTAAAATGATTCTGCTTATATTTAAGGTTTGACTGACCGGCTGGACTATTTCGACTACATCCGTGTTAATGCCATCCTTCTGGGTCCTGTGTATGAACACAGTGGCAGCGGTGTGACAAGTTTTACAGAGGTTGCCCCCGCGCTAGGCACACATCAGGACTTTAAACGTCTTATAGAGAGTGCCCACGCCAAAGGTAAGTGCACGACTTCACCTGTAAAACTGAAAGATATTAAAGCTTCTCTGAAATTTGATGTTAATATATTTTCGACAGAGTATGATTGTTTTTTTTTTTAAATCTAACCAGGGGCAATGCGACATACATTCCTTTTTATATAGGCTTATTCAAATCACATCGTTTTAAAAGCAGATGAGAGAAGAGTTTCATTAGCTCTGTATGTATCAATTTAAATTAAATGTTTTAAAAGTTTTAAAAGCAATTCTAACATACATTCATTCTATCTCTATTATATGCCTATTCACTTTTTTGTTAAGAAAAAGAATATATTGCCTCACATGTTAGCATTTTCGGCAAGTTTTTTTTTACATTAGGTTTGTTATTAATTCAATGTTATTCTGCCATTGATAGGCAAGAAAATAATACTGGATTTCATTCCAAACCACACAAGCGATCAGCACCAGTGGTTTCAAGCGAGCAGAAAAAGCAGTCAGAAATATAAAGATTTTTATATATGGTCCGACGGTGTCCTACTCGAAAATGGAAAGCGAGGCCCGCCAAGTGACTGGAAGGATTATTCCTGCCATTCTGCCTGGGAGTGGGACGAAGAACGTCAACAGTTTTATCTGCATCAGTTTTCACGGTCACTGCCTGATCTCAACTACCGCAACCCGGATGTGGTGGCTGAAGTGACGGTATTGTCATTTTATCTTCAGCTCAACTATCGCAATCAAACTGATGTACAGGCTAATATAATGTCAAAAAGTATCCTAAAACATCATGAGTCTTCTCGAAAGAGGTTTTAAATCAGCATAAGTTTTATTTTGATTTTACTGTTTTTGGACGGGAGAGGGTTGAGGGATTAGAATATCCTATAAAGCTGAAATATCGATAGGCAACGACTAGAACGTCGATGTCCTGAATCATTTCTTCACCCTACCTGGTAGCATAACTGTTTGTGAAAAATCACTTTAAACTAAGTATCAGTTTTTAGAGGCAATTAGTAACTATCTTTACTTTAATCTTGTTCAGGCAAGTTTGAGATTCTGGTTAGACCAGGGAGTGGACGGATTTAGACTCCAAGCTGTCGACAGATTATTCGAGCACGAAGACCTTACAGCGAATATAAAAAGCGAGGATGAAATGCAGGTATATTTCAGGATTAAATATTGATAAATGCAAACCGTGGAACGCAATCCCTTACTTGATTTTGCATTGTAGGCCTATTCCTAACTTAATTTTACATTACAACGCATCCACGTTATCTGTGAGATTAATTAATTAATATTGCTCTTCCTCATTCAATGGTGAAGGAAAGAAGAAATTAATTCTATCAAATGATATGTGTTCATTGATATGCATTTTCATATCGCCAGACACCATGTCCAAGCTGGCACCACCGTTTCCTTAGCAACATCACCGAATCACGGGCGGTCCTTGACCACTGGAGACATCTGCTGGACGAATATGGCGAGAAAACTGGCCAAACCAAAATACTGTTATCGGACGCTAACTACGAGCACGCACGCAGCGTAATGGCACTATACAATTCATCCGACATGCCCGTTAACCGCGACTTTACAAAAGTTGGGCGTTCCTGCGGTGGTCAGTGCATCGGGCGGATTGTGGAGAGTTGGATGACCACTATGCCAGTTGGCAAATGGCCAAACTGGGTGACCAGTTACCATGGTAACGAGAGAATGGTAACTCGATTGGGACGCAATTTCGCTACTGCGATAAATATGTTAGTTATGCTCTTGCCGGGCACGCCTGTGGTGTATTTTGGTGATGAGTTGGGTCAGAATAATGCCATTGCAGGTCCAGGAGGGAAAGAATCCCCAATGTTATGGGACATCAGCGAAAATGCTGGATTCACCCAGTCTAAAGAAAAAATCGGACATATCCATCCAGACAGCCAAATGCTAAGCGTGGCAACCCAAAAGGCGGACGATACCGGCAAATCAGTTTTGCGGAGATTCCGCTTTCTGGCCAAGACGCGCGATCAGCCATCTTTTCACCGAGGGACCTTTAAGTCACGGCTTATCAATAAGCACATTTATTCGTTCATTCGTTCTTATGAAAGCGAACCGAGTTACCTTGTCATGATCAATTTTGGCACAGAAAAATCGTCCATAGATTTCACAGAAGAAGACCTGCGGCTTCCTTCACATGGAGTGGTCGAAGTTAACACGGGGAATTTCGAAAATGATGCCTTCGCCCTAGAAACTCGTGTCGATTTCAAAGTAATTGAATTGGCTCCTGCCCAGGGGTTAGTTATACGATTTTATCCTGAACGACAGGACAATTAAAATGTAAAAATTTACGGTACATACATTTGCCAGAGAAATATGCATACTTTTTTCAAGTAATGCCGTACTCTTTCACTTGCCCGAAAAAAATAAAATCCACGTTAAATTGGATACTGAGTATCGCCTTTGGCCATCATAGTTCACATATATAGAACGGGGGGATAATTGAAACAAATCCATCAATCTCAATTTTTTATGTTGTTAGAAACTTATTAATTTTGAATACGCGGATCCCCTCTTCAAATAATCCTGGATCCGCCCCTGCAGATTAGTAATAAGTTTGTAATTTTTTTTTGTGATATTATGGGGTAGATTGGAATGTGGTGGAAATATTTAGTCACACTTGTGGATGAAGCCTGCATGCAGCATCCTTAATAATTTTTTTACTATCGGATTGTCATCAGTTTGCAGTGTACCGCAGTATTACAGAAATATTAAAAGATATGTTCTATATTTCACATTGTTTATACGATTACTTATTGTCCATCTTCCGATCAAGTTGGGACTATATCGCTCCAGGAACTAAGCGCCATTTCATGCTTTAATTACGAATGGCGCATCAGACTTTTAAGATAAAAACAACTAAAACGTGATTTTTCAATTATAAAATTTTTAATTTAGTCAACAAAACAACAGTTTAATTATAACATAAAACGTGTACTGCAATAATTTAAAATATACGTGACTTTGTCAATAGTAAAATATCTGATTACATGATTACTTAAGTACCAAAGAATTACTCGTCAATGTTATAACAATTTACGATTTGGCACTTGATCACCGACACTAGATTCCAGTGCTTTTGGGTTAATAGCACCATATATATGCTGATACAGAAACCCAGTGAGATATTTACATTGTACATGGCATGGACAACAGGAGAAAATGGCCATGGTTAAATCCACCAATTATTTCAACTGTTAAAAAATATTATCAACAAATCACAGTCGTTAATGCGTAAATAGATATAAATATATGTACAATTAATGTCAATGTGAAACTTGACCATGGTCATTTACAACCGAATGAACTTAAAGCTCCACCAATCTCAGAGCATATCAGGTCATACATTAGATAAACAATCCTCTAAGGTCATAATAAGCAAGTTCATAAATCACCAACCTGATAAAATTGAGCTTCTCTTAAACGATGTCTTGAACAATGAGATATTAGCTTGACACGTTTCTTTGAGACAAATATGCTGTGCACTGTATGTTCAACACACAGTTGCCTTCACTCCATTAGAGAGATTAAGAAGATATGTGAAGAAAAAAAAACATAACAAGGAATGTGATGAAAGGAAATGAGCATGAGATCTAATGGAAATGTTTAACGATAACTACTAGTGATGTAAAATGAATGACGAAGAAAAAAAAAAACGGATCAATTACACATCGTACTTGATCACAAGAAACTGCCCTGGGTTTAGAGAGATTTTGTTGAGCTTAATCTCTTTACCAACATTATAGTCACTATGATGGAAATCACCAGAATTGAGCTTCACTAAACCGTTCTCTGGCAGCCCTTGCTCAGCAAGGTCAACTTGGGCCTCTGTGCTCCCAAAGTTGAGAATGACATAATACAGGGACTCTCCCTCTAGTTCTCTCACAAAAGAATAGATGTTCTCGTCCACCAATAGAGGTTTGAATGTACCCCTTTGGAACGTAGCTTCTTGTCGTAGCAAGGACAAGTCCCTGTACATTTTGAGTGGTGTCACACCCTCTGCTTTCCTTTGTGCTTCTGCATTGAAGATTTCATAGTCTGGGTGGACTGGAAGCCATGTTTTTGTTGCGTTGGAGAACCCTGAGGAATGAGTGCTGTCCCAGAGCATGGGGCTTCGAGGGGGGTCTCGGCTGACCTCATGGTATCTCTCAGGGCCGAATCTTTTTCCAAAGGGGTCTTGTGTATCTTCATAGGACACTTCGATATTTGTTAAACCAAGTTCTTCACCATTGTAAGTTGTTGGAGTGCCTGGCAACAGCAAAAGGAGTGTGTTCATGGCATTCACAAATTCAGTGCCCATTTTGGTTGCTATGCGCTTGTTGTCATGGTTGCCGATAACCCAATTTGGCCACTTGCCAATGGGCATGTTGGTCATCCAGTTGCTGATGGCCCTGTCCACACAGTCCCCACCACAGGTGCGGTTAAGGAAAACGAGATCAAAGTTAAATGGCATGTCGGCGCCAGTGTGGTAATAGTACATGGCCTGCTGAATGGTTTCGCAATAAGCCTCGGTCACCAGGAACCTGTAGTTGCCATCTTTCTGGTAGTATTCATCTGCCAGGTGGCGCCACTTGGCTATGACCTCGTAGGTTTCTGGCTGGTGGCTTGTGTAGATGTGCTCCAAGGACTCGTACTGCCACAGCTCGGCGCCGGGTCGATTATTCAGTGGTTCGTTGAGGGAGAGGTCAGCACTTTCAAACATGGTAAGGACGGCATCTATGCGGAACCCATCAACTCCCCTTTCTAACCAGAAACGAAGGGCATTCTGGAAAATAAAATGTGGATAAGTGATTTTTCTGGGCAATTTTAAAAAAAATTGATCAAAATAATTTGACAGTGGAAACTGCCTAAATAATTTTCAACTTCAGAAAATCAATTGTGTCAAAAGAATTCAAAGTGACTTGATAATTATTGGATTGACAATTACTATAAGGTACTTTTAGTACATGTACTATACTAGAAAATACACATACCGTCATTTCTTCCACAACTTTTGGGTTGCGATAGTTAAGATCTGGCTGCTCTTTCAGGAACTGGTGCAGGTAAAATTGCTGGCGTTCCTCCACCCACTCCCAAGCAGAGTCTCCAAAGAAACTCTTCCAGTTGTTGGGCGGCACTCTGGTCCCGTTAGCAGTCAGGTTCCCATCTGTCCAAACGTAGTAGTCCTTGTATTCCTCGACTCCAGCCTTGCTGGCCTGAAACCACTTGTGCAGATCGCTGGTGTGATTAGGAATGAAGTCGAGGATCATTTTCATTCCTATTGAAAAAAAAATAATTTAAGATAAATAAGCATAATGTATTTTAATCTAATGTCTCGGATTTAAGTTTAATAAGAATTACAGTTATCAAACATGGAACAAAACTGACACAAGAATAATGCATATATAATACAAAAGTTTCACCTTAAAATACTTAGTACATCTAAAAATAATGAGTCGAGAAAAAATCATTTACGTCCCCATATATGCTTTGTAACAAAAGGCTGAAAAGCAAGCCTTAAAGTACAGTATAGAGCAGAGCAATTAAGATGCGTTTACCTCTACTGTGCACATCTGCCAGCAGCTCATCAAAATCCTCCATTGTTCCAAAGATTGGATCAATATTAGTGATGTTAGAAGGGTCGTAGCCAAAGTCACGCATAGGCGACTCGTACATGGGGCTCAACCACAAGGCACGAGCATTGATGTACTCAAGATGGTCCAGTCGTGAGCGGATGCCTGTAAAAATATTTATGTCATTATAATATAATATCATTATAATATGTTATTGATTCACAAGATGCAGACATAACATGACCTTTGTCAGTCATCTTGAGTGAATCATCCAATGGGTGTTTCTTTCATGTGTCAAATGTTGATAACTAAATCATTATGCATTTTTTTTTCTCCAAATTAATCTTCCCTTTTTTTTATCACCCAGGCAGTTAAAGCCCTCAGACTGGCTTATCAGACAATATTGATTAATTTAACATGTATGCTTCATATTAAAACAACACTGCAATAAATTACAGAAGGGAACCTGCAAATAGTAAAATGCAGGTACCTGGTATCCCCCCCCCCCCCCCCCAAAATCTAACAAATTTTCTCCATAAACTCACCCTGCAAATCGCCAACACCGTCTCCATTACTATCCTGGAAAGACCGAGGGTAGACCTGGTATATGACGGAGGTCTGCCACCACTCCAATGGGGGCTCTGGGGTCTTGGATAGAAATGTGACAATCAACAGTCTGGGCATGAAGCTTAGGAGGCCTAGGATGATGGAAATACCCACTGGTCCTAAAATTATTAAGAGAGTATGATTATTTTATTGTTCTAATAAATAATAGTCCTTTTTTTATTGTTAAACTGGTATGATCTGAATGTAAAATCAGGAATGCAATGAATAACATGTAGTACAGGTACCAGTAGGGAAAAAAACATTTCTTTTGTACTTGCAGTTGCTATGCTTGTGTAAACACCACCACCAAAGAAAAAAAATCAATATCAAACAACTGAAAAGTCACTACTCTTGATTCAGCTCTGACCTTTGTAAAATGTATTTTAGAGGGTGAATCTTTAAGTTAGGGGATAATTGATGAATTTTTCAATTTCCTGCTGCTGAGACCATGCACTTATAATCTGTGGATGGAAGCCTTCTTTAGACTTTAAATCTTTAATAACATCCACAGTCACCATTCCAATAAAAAAGAACAGCCATTTACCAGGTTTGCGACCCCAGTTTACCTGACAATCATGAATAAATAATATCTTAAAATTCTATCAACAAAAAAGGTATTCATGGCGTGGATACTTGTTAAATCATGCAGAAGGAATCACGACGGGAATTGACCTCGCCTATGCACATTTAACCCGTCGCTCACGGAACTGTGAAGGCCTCTTGATAGATTTGACACCGATTAACTATCGTTGTATCGCTATAAGATTAAGCTAAGAAGTTAATCTCTTTGAGTACACGGGAAGTAAAACTAAGTCGAAAAGGACAAAATGGCAAAGACCAATAAAACTGCCCTAAAAAGAACGCTGCCAATAGCGCATCTCGCTCTCACGTACGTGTGTCAAATCTACATTTCATTCTGCTAACATGTACTCAAAAATTATACCTGCCGCTTTCCTCCCCTTCACGAAGCTACTCATCTGTACATAGATTCTCTTCATTTTCCCCGGTGATGGTATCAAGGAACCAACAAAGGTGGTATCAAAGAACCAAGATGGTGGTTCGGGGGGAAAATATCACTGCCGAATACCTCTTTACTGTCAAAGAAATTCTAATTTACTTTCACTGCCATGCCGCTGACTACATACACACAGAGCCGCATCTCATTATATCATCAACCAATTATCGGAGAGGATACAGATCTGAGGGCGGGGCCATTCCCTTGTTTGACCATGAAGCATCTTACGTCACAGAGACTAATTTTCATTCACCAATAAAAAAGCCACGTTCTCCAAACCAGTTCTAACTAGTTTGAACCACACAGATCTAGTTCGATCCTGTTTTTGTGACCGCAGAGAGGAAGTCTGCAACGCACATTGCCAGAACATTGACTCGAACGTTAAAAAATCAATAAAGATATGGATATTGTACATGTCCAACAAACTGCCCTTCCGTTTATACGTGCTATATTTCAAAATAATACTCAAAATGCCTCCCTATTCCTAAATATATGTTTTATCAANCTGTATTTCTCTCATTTTTTAGAAACTTGGGACTCCGTTTCTGTTTCTGTCCTCAAAAATCAACAGACGAAGGCACAGATACTAACAAACGAGATTTAAACGAGATAGCAATTAAGCGTAACAGAGATAGGCATCCATTGTTCTCTGGGTTCTATTCATTCCGACCAATGAGAGACCGTATTACGGGCTCCGCCCCCACGCGTGTAATCTCCTTCTGTTATAACTCCTTGGTTTGTCTTAACATTGATAAAGATGCAATCTAAGACATTTAATTTACATTTTTTTCTTTTGCAATTTCAGAGGAATATAACTCCTTGGTTTTATTAACAACCTATTGTGTAAAAAATTCTTTTAAGTGATAAATTTTGCAAAACGGGAATGTGAATATTTGCAAAAAATTATTAATCCATTAACGGGCGTAAGCCCCGACCGGGCATGTTGAAAGAGAACCAACAAACAAGATCAAGCACTAGGAATGAAGGTATTCGTAGCTTAGCCTAATGTCCCGAGAAGAAATACGGTAAAACGGGTCATGATCATAAATGAACCAGCATGATTAGGCCTACAGAAGATGGCTTGTTTACTTCGATGGTCGTCTTCTGGTGAATATTTAGGATATTTGGCAATTATACAAGCAGAATCTAGGCTATTTTGAGGAGCAAGCCATGAAAGCTCAGGAGACAAACGAAGGGGGGGGGGGGGGGAGCAATTAGGCCTATATTGGCTCCGTCAATTGATTTTTTTTTACTAAAATCTATATAAGCAGGTCTAGGTTTTTGCGTTATCTATTAAAGACATTTAGTAGGCCTATATGAGGGCCTGGCATGCGTTCACGTAATAGCAATATATATAGGGCCTATATGAATCAAATCTTAACGTCAAAACAGGAATAGAGCCTAGGCTATATAGGCCTATATAGGGCCTACACATCGATTTCCAGGTCTATAGGGCTACCCGTTGGCTGAAAGGCATATTGGGGAGGGAGGATATTTTAATAGACCCACAAAACACACACAAAAAAAAAACAACAACATTCATAGATATATAGGCCTAAAGGTATAAATATGTATTTATTTTTAGCCAATCTGTTTGCTCAGTATACAGGGTGGCACTCTATTTACATCTGATGCCCTCAGATGATATTTTTGAACAAAACTCGGGTGAACGGGGTCACATGAACTGGTTGAAACCTGCCAACAAACAAACCGCTGAAACCACACTGTAGGCGTACCCGATAAAAATGGTAGTTCTGACGAAATTAATCAATGCACAAGTGTAGGCCTACTTATTTGAACAATAAACGCTCAGCTGTAGGCTACGGCGTGGGCCTACATAATAGTTGCCAGTTAGACATATGCTATATAGTAGCCCTACGTGTTTATGTATAGCCTATATCTCAGGAAAGAGGCCGACAGTCAACAACATTCAAATACATGTTAACCCGATAAAAACGTAACACTTTACAGATGGTTATACATTTAACTGACCAAATAGGCTGCAGTGCTTCTAGGTGCAACAGTTTTCGTGCACTTTTAGGGATAAAAAAAATATTGATAGCGATATAAACTAAGGCAAATCACACACGACTCCCATGCTAAAAAAAAAAAAAAAAATGCGCGGAATTGACCAATACTGCTAAGAAGAGGTTAATCAGCTTGCATGCTGCCTATACACTGTAAACGGTGGTGTTAATGTCATTTAATACGGTTGATTTAATATACCTTTCCATCGTCTTGATTGAAGGTGGTGATGAAAAGAAGGTGATGAGGATTTTTAGACAGTTGTCAGTTTGCAGACGCATGTCCTTGTTGAAGGTCGATCAAACGTAGGATCGGACGGACGGGCGTGCAGTTCACCTGGATTAAGGATCACCAACACTGACCATGACAACCAACTCAAAAGTCCTTGACCAACAGTACATCTAAGGTTTGAGACCCACTGTGACCACAATACGGCCCATCTGTGCCTGAAATGTTGTAAAGACGGCAGTCTGTTCTCCTAGGCGTTAACTTCGAAGCCGCAATGCGGAATAGCATTTACAAACCGGTTAATATGAGCGCAGTTAGGCCCCGCCCCTTCTGCGAGCTGGCTGATAGTGGCGCTACCTCCCGGCCACATGTATTTTGCATTAAAAGCGCACTTTTTAAAGTAATGTATGTTACTGGAGTGAATAGTCGCAACGGGGGAGTAATAAATGCAGCTGCGATATCAGGAGATCATATTTTCAGGATTTGACAAGATTTTTGGCAAAGAATCAGGTTTGAGTAAAGCACGTGATACGGGCCTAGCTATTACTGATTCCCAAATTAAAGGTAGCAATGCTTCAACTGTTCCCATTCTGGACGGATAATCGTAAGGAGGGAAATGGAGGAGGGGGGGGGGGCACAAAGAGGGCACAGAGTACTGGTGCATTTTGTTCAAGTCTTCTAATTGTAAGAAATAAATTGAAACATCGAGGAAGGTCTCATGTTACGTTTCAATTATTTCAAATGCCAATGCAAACGTTGACGTTTGCTGTACTAGTATTTATGACTTGTTGTTTTTTGTCCGGTTCTTCTTTGTATATCTACATGCGTCTATTATTATTATTAGCACAGCCAATAAAACAAGCCAGTTTTGTAAGGCGACAGTATATGGGACATTCTGGATTTAAATCCCATGTTTTACGTCATCAAATCTTTATTACATAGAATTTGTTTGCGCAATCTCAATAAACACCGAGTAGAGACCGTGAAATCGGTCAATAATTGACCACAGCGATAAACCGCGTGGCTATAATCAACACTGGTTTTATAATCAATATCACGGAGCAAGAGAAATCATGGCAGAGGTATATGAACTTGATGCGTACTGTGACTGACTTAATTTCTTATTATATGCTGCGGCGGATCTTCAAAAATAGCTCACTTGCATAGCGGGCGTATTTACTTGGCATTCCTAGAAACGGGTTAACTGAACGACCACCTGAGTCGGTGAAGCGCGGGTATTTCAAGCGCCTACCGATAAGGTGATGCATCTTGTTTAGTTTATGGAGCCCAAAGTAAACAGGCAGGCATCAGAATCATTCCTAGGTGCTCTTGGCGGTAAGGCACTTTGGCCCGCTTCAGTGGATCGGCTCCCTCAAATATTTACACCACCTTTAATTGATTAGATAATAGTGCTTGCCGCATGCCCTTGCACGATAATTTGCTGTGGAAAGATCCGTTTGGAAGGTACTGGAGATGTGATCATAATTATGTTATGTTGGCCAAAAATAAATAAATAAACAAACAAACAAACAAATAAATAAATAAATAGAGGAGTTATTTAGTACATAAAAGTAAAATAACGACGTTCTGACAAAGCACAACTATGCATCCGTGCCTTTCACGTCACCGGATCTGCGAGTTTCTACTACATCGTGCGTCATGTTTTTCATACTAAAACTAACTGACTACAGCGTCACGACGGAACCATGACTAAAATTTTCAAATACTTTATCCTTGTTCCTCTCAACAGGAATTCGACAGAACTAATCAAACAAACGTCAATATTACACCAAGTTTTTGTTGGTGGCAAATAGTAAAATTGTTCAATCGTAAACGTTTTATCTTCGTCATTCTAAATGCTGTGACCAAAGCGCGTGGAGATTCCCATTAATAAGCGGATTGAGATAAAGGTGTTTTACGTGACTTGCTGTTATGTACAGTGTCTGGTCACTCTGGTCAACAAATGACACTGAACCGCTCCTCACCCTCTCCACTCCCCCACATGAATGGCAACGTGTACTGGTAAACACAGTGGCTTGGTGAAAGTGCCCAACATCGACTGTTTATTGTTTTCTGTTTATGTTATTTGGTTGTCACCAAAACATCCGTTTGTTACATAAGTTAAATTCTGACAATGGTCTATTTTTGCCTATTGAAGAGAGACATTTCAAGAGTCATGTACAGACTTAATACACATATACATAAAAACTTGATGATCTCTACCTTAATGAGAATTGAACCTTCCTACACATCTGCCCACTTACCCGCATATTTCTTATGCTTGGCCTGCATGTGGCTCAGATAAAACTTGTTGAACATTTCGTCGATTTGCTTATTTGTATGGAAATTGTCTCAGTCTTCTCTCTTTTAGATGCCTTCTTTGAGTGAAGAGTTCTCAAGGAACAATCTTCTGATACTTATAGCTGTCACTTTGCGATAACGTTGCTCTTCTTGTGTGGGGTTTATAGTGCTATCCAACCTCGTGCTTATGTTTACGCTTTTATTGGGCTGGGTCAGCAGGTGACGATTTGATTGGTTGGTTGCCATACACGCCTCCACGCATCAGCCAATCAGATCGTGACAAAAGAGCCACACATTCACACACCTTTAGTCGGTGAGAAAGTCCGTATTTGACATTACATGACAATTGCTTTTGTTGAAGAGAAAGGCAAATCGTGAAATGGGTCACGGATTATACTTTATTATGTTCTTTTCTCGGTGGGTTTATTATCTATTTCCTATTGACGTGCGTAAGTTCATGTTCGATCTAATCTCAATTATAAGCGTTGTACGACTTGTACTGGACATGCTGATGTGATTAATACTTTACAATTTTGACGTCAGATATGTGATGAAACTCCGAAAATCTTGTCTTGCGCTCTACTTCAAAGAGGAAACATAAATATCATAGACGCATGAAATTCTTTCTCACATTACGAATAATCAAAATCTATCTGCGCTTGATTGAGATATTTACGTAAAATAGTTCACGAGAAGTGTCATATATGTATTTGGCTTGGGAAACTTTTATTTTTGTTATTTTTGTTACGCTGAGTTTAACTTCACACTCTGAAATGCGTTACATAGAATGTGTCAGTTGAAGATGGCGTGATATGTGGGTGGGGGAGAATGGTGCGCCCCCTCTCCCAACATACCCTCTACCAGGGCCGCAGTTATTATTGTGGATATTTTTTACTGAATCGACCGAAAGCAAAAATGACCGTCTATTTATTTATAGACATATCTCTGAATATCTGTGGAAAATCAATCTGTCGCCCTGGTACAGTAACCCCCAACACACAATGACAAGCAGTCCTTCTTCATACATAGTACTAGTGGTGGTGGTTATAATTTTTCGCACTTACTCAAGTGGTGATCTATTTCCCGGCCTAATCATTATCACCTGCTTGTGTTTGTTTTTATACATTGAGTCGATGGCATTCGGCCAGGAAATCAAAGACCAGCGAAAACTCTCATCGACCCCTTTCCATTAAATAACTTTAGAACGAGGGAAATAGTCTACAATTAAAATTGTCATGAAAAAACGCAGCGGTATTCGTTTTCTTGTGAAAAGACCTTCGTCTTCCACAATATTCTGACAGCAATCCATAATTTTCTCCTTGCTCAACAGTGTTTTGACCGTATATGATAGTATAATATTACAAGACAACAGATTTTTCATTTTTATTATGCCAGTCAACGTGTGGAACCCACCCTTTATATTTATTATTTACTACAGTAGATATCTCAAAGTCGTAGAAAAATTCCATTAACTCAGAATCCCACCTGTTGAGGCTACTATAATGATGAACACTATCTTTTTGACCAAATGCACTATTAAAAAACACAAACAAGACACACAGTGCAAATGTACTATTATATTCGACCTAACGGAAGATACGAAAAAAAGTGACTCAACCTTCAAGAAAAGAAAGCCCGTTAGGGCGTGGCCTGCTCAATTATTAGTCGGTTGGCACAGACGTCTCCTTGTTCCTTTTCCTTAATTTTGTGTAACATTTACCAAAGGTTTATCACGGATTTGGCATCATAGCTATTTCAAGATTTAAAATTTTGATTTCTTAATATCCTGTCTGTCTTGAATTCATGACTGCATTTACCTGTGTCTTTCTGTACATGTAAACCCGTCAAATGATTCATATTTTACGATGAAGAACCTCCTCGAAATATGAAGAAGTGTTTCATAATCAATGAGAATTTTTTCTTTGAAGTGATTTATATTCTGTAAAATACTGAATTTTAATTGAGAGTGCAGTGAAGCCGGATTGCATATGATATTAGATAATATTTTAATATTTAACAAGGAGAAAACGGAGATCATTATGTTTGTTCCCTCTTATCAGTCCTAACGTTTAATTATTCAAGTCATATTAATTACTGTAAAAAACACCATCATCATTAGTGCAACAGTACAAAGACTAAATACCTGTCACACAAAAAGTGAATACAAAGAAAATACATTCCCCTAAATGAGCCAAGTTTCTATCAAACGATCTATATTCTCAACCTTCTGTTTTTATTAAAACGTGGACGTTCTCTAATATATAGTGGAGACGACATTACTGGAATCAGGATCAGTCTCAAGGTATAAATGGTTGAATTATGTGAGTTTTTCATTTATTTATTTATTTATTTATTTCCATTGTAAAACTTTAATAAGTTACAGGCTGAAAAGAAATAAATGAAACACAAACACATACACACAAAGACACTTTTACAAAAGAGTGAAATGGATGAAACAATGCACAGAACTAAACAACGTAAACTGCAACGGGTACGTGAGTCTGAGAGTTTTGCTACCGCAGTTTTAAACCAGGGTTTAACATTTAAACTTAATTAAAATATTATAATTTGAGAACACGCGCAGGGCCCTCTTAAAGGTGAGAGATGGCCAGTGGTGGACTTAGGGGGGTGGGGTGTTAGGCGGGTCCTTACCCCTCCTTCAGTTTCTGAAAAAAATTACACCAATAGTCCCCTCGTGAAATTGGAATTTTGACCAGCTGAATCATAGTTTTAAATCGAACCAATAGCACCGTTCGCACTCTAAAATACCAAAGGGCCTGTCATTCTTTAAAAAAAACTGGACCCCCCCTGGATCCGCCCCTCGTGGCAATGGATTTTCTTCAAATCGAACTGGATTCAAATATTGATCTAGGAAAGTCGAGTTTCTCAAGAGACACGTATCAAAAGTGAAATCAACATCTGTTTGGATGAAGCATGTACAGTACCGGTGTCAAATAATTTCACACTGTGTGCCTTTAAAAAAGGATAAGGGGAACATGTTTTTAATTAACAACAGGGAGAGAGAAAACACGGAAAAAACTGACAGCATTGTCTTATGAATTGACTTATTTCATTTGATACAGATTCGAAATAACACGCAAAGAGCAAAAGTCGACCCCCTTACGTATTTCTTTAAAGAGAAGTAAAACCCAAACCGTTTTGATGCTAAAACTCGTAACCAGACTTTAATTTACTTGACATTAATTCAGAAGCTAGGGATCTGAATTGTGTTGTACAATCTATTTACTGTAAAAATACAACAATAATATATAAATTAATAAATAAAGTAAAAGAACGCCAATGAGTAGAGC